CAAAACCTTGCCACGCAAACCCAATACAGAGAAAAAAACTAAAATACATTCTTCAACAATATTTGTGTTGATTAAAAGCTGTTAATATGATTTCTCTAAGTGCTTATGATAAAACCTGTGCTTTCATTTTTCTTTATTCTGAATATGTTTGCAATTGAGTTGAAATTGCATTTTTTTCTGTTATCTGAAACATGCCATCCTACGTTCTTCAGCTGGAAGGGTGTCTTTCCAAAAGTGTAACAGTATCAAAGAATTTATGAAATAAGATATGTTTTGGGATTTATTTTTCCATCTCAAATTACTAAACAAATCACAAAAAATTTTATAAAATGGTAATTCTGGCTTTCATTCGGCTCACAGGCTTTTCAGTCTTTTTCACAGGTGCCCCTGACATTGACAACAGGAAGAGAATAGATGTAAGAGAGGAAACACATCAGTTTTATTTAGTAGTCCCCTACAAAGAAAGTAGACTCATCTCTACTGTTACTCTTCCGTGGCAGAAATAGCACAGTCCTCTTCTGATTTTTAACTGTTTGATTTTCAGTATGCCCTTTAATGTTTTATTTGTCATCTTTTGTCAAGTGAAGGAAAAGGAATCACCATTCTTGTCAACAAGGCACTAAGTGGCTGTCACCTTTCCTTACGGTTACAGCTCGGATGAAAACCTGGCATTACTGAATTTCCAAGTGAGCTTTCTGTGCAGAGTGCCATGAGCCAGTGAGTACAAAGAGGAGCAAAAAAATCCTACCTGGATTTAGCAGAGTTATTCCAGAGGATGTAGGTGCTTTTAGTACCTAACATAAAATTAAATACATCCATCTACTAAATGTTTCAGAAATGAGGCAAGCAGAAAAGCTTAAAATTTCTCTTTCTGTGTCAGAAGCTCGAGGACTCATATAAATGGTAATAAGACTGGATCTTCTCACTTGAAGAATCCTTACTGAGTTTTTGTTTCAGTCTACCTGTATGTCCATTTGTCTATTGTAGTTTAAATGTAGCTCTCCCCAACATAAAAGTAAAATCATGTCTTTCTGCCAGGGTTATTTATGTAACAGAACTGTATTTTTACAGATTTTGTATATGAAACCTTAGCTGAGGGCTGATGTTTTAAAATCATCCTGCAGCAAAGTTTTTCCTGCAGAGACTCCATGCATACTCCATGGTGTGAATTGCATTGGAACCCTGAAATTGAAAGGCAGCAACTCATCAAATGTAAGGGGAATCTAATTCTAATCCTCATACAGATTACTTTCTCGCTTGATTTATGACATTTTCAAGTTAAACCACAAGAGACAGACAGAGACTGTGGTTGCAGTGGGGGAAGGACTTAAAGTTACCCTGAACAAGATGAAAACATAAACAGAGCGTTAACTAAATCCAAATAGACACAATAATGGGAGAGGTAAAGCGTGTTGAAATGCTACATTGTGGTTCCAGCAGCTTAACCTGGTTATTTAAAAAGTAAAGCATCACAAGTAAGGGTAACTCAGAGGAGGCACTTCTGCTGGCCCAGACTTTCCTGAACAAGGAATTCAGGATTAGACCCCCAGAAGGATTTGGCAAAAGGAAAGCCAAAGTTGGAGGGAAGATTTTCTGTACTCCCTATTTTCCCTAGAGGCTATTTATCCTTGAGAATGACTTGCAACAACATTCTTGTGTGCTTCACATGCTCTCTCCTCCCCTCCAGAACACACTAGGGAATCATCGCATCGTTCTTTTGTGCCTTGTGATGGGCATCTTCCTTACCAAAACCCATGCCCAGGGCACCTACCCTTTTTGGAGAGCTCTTGTAGGCACATAGCCACAGAGTCTGGTGCCTTTGAACCTGTATTCAAGAGATGCCTAAATTTGGGAGGCACTTGTGTTTTATTGACGGTAGAGTTCCACAAGTGCAAAACATCTGCCTGTAGCCAGGCCACAAATCCTGACGGTGTTTTGCGTACTGCAGAATCTGTGCATGCATTTTATCTCCTTCTTATCAGGACGTGCTCTCAGATAAAGCAAGTTTAGAAGAAAATACGTTTGTGATTAGCCCTAACACAAAACCAAATGTAAGAGGTATTCAATAGCCTGTGTGACAGATTTAATTGAACTTTTCACCTATACTCCAACTTCCCAAGTACATAGAATTTCTATAGGGATATCTAGGGGTGAGTTCCCTTAGCCTGTGAGAGCAAGTATCTTTCACTTATTATTAGAGCTCCGTAGATACTTTGATATAGGTAAAACTTTTCTGTTTGTTTCGGGAAGTTTAGGGTTCTTAGGCACAAAGGGGTGTCACTTGAGAAGGACTTTTGAGCCAGTAAGGAGTTCATGAATAGGTATTTATTATGGTAAGTCATAGATAGAAGAGTTGATACAGATAACATTAAGGTTTTTTCAAGAGCTTTATCTCAGTAAGTGCTTTTTCCAGTTCCCCTGAATATTGAACATTTAGTTTCATCCTTGATATAGCTCCACTGACAACAACAGCATTTCATCAGCAATGGATGTGGCTCAAAGGTTTTTTTGCAGTTGTGATCATGTGATGTGCTCGTTACTTGGAACATGTTTGCTCTGTGTCATGTGCATGATATATTAGGAACATATCTCTGACTTCTTAGCAATTCCTATTTTCTTGTGCCCTTTTCTGGGCTTCCAACAGTTCAGCTAGAAGCTCCTGAAAGACTGGCAACATTTGTTAACATCATTTGTTTGATACTGATTCTCACTACTTCTGAATATTTTTAGCTGACATTTGAAGCACTATGTCAAATTGATCAGATCAAGAAAAAAAAAAAGAAATAAGCTCCTGCTGAGCTTCTTGCTGCTGTAGCTGTGCTTTTCCTTGATCTGCATTTAGCGTATTTTTAGAGTTGAGTATTTCTCTACTGCAGTACAGCTTGCAGTAGAGACCTCACCCTACCAGGTCTCATCAACAGTTATTTTGTGACAGGGCTAGCAAGTTATTCAGCAAGATCCTCTGTCAGAAATCACAGTTTTTGTCAGAATGGTCATTTCCATCTACAGTTAGCCAACACTGAGGGCTGACCACCTCTCTGAGGGACTGACCTGTTACACTTCTCTCAGGCTATGACCACACAATTAAATAAAAAGGTCTTATTTAACCAGATCTGAGGTTGTGACACCAACTGACTGGCATCTACTCTTTTTTAATCTAACCTCCTACAGCAGCTGTGTCTTGGAAAGAGATGCTTGGATTGAACAGTGCAGGTGATCAGAATCCACAAGTAGGAGTGTATGACTGTACCCACTCACTGCCTCTTTTATTAAACAGCATAGATGTGCTCAGAATTATCAGCTGGCTTGGCCTGGCACCCCTTTCAGGCCAATATTGCCACTCTTCACAGAACTTACTGTTGCTCTGTCCTCTGTCTTTCTCATCATTCATTGCTGTTTCTTCACTTTTTCAACCGTGTACTTTTGTGAAACTGCATCCCTGTACTTGCAGCTTGATCAAAGTAAGCACACAGCATGTAGCACATTAAGGCATGAGTTCTTGTTTGCAGCTGCTAAATGCTCCTACACTGTATAAAATAAATAAACTAAACCATACGCTATTGTGTGTGCCAGGAAAGATCTATATAGGCCAGACAGTGAAAGCATAGTTTTGCTTTGCAGACTGCACGACTGAAACTAATTTTGCAGAATGACAGGTGATTCCAATAAGACAGCTGCAAACAGAACTTTTTTTAATAACTTACATCTTGCAGAAAATGAAACTCAATAGCTTTTCTTTTTGTTAGAAGAGGGCTTGTTACTTTTTTAGCCTGGTCCCTTCAGCCTGTAAACCAGTCCAAGCAACCACAATCCATCCCTGGTTCTCGATTATACATGGTGTTTTCCTTATATTGTTTATATCATTAATATATCAAGAATAACTGATTGTATGTTTTCCTTTCCCCAATTGAAAAAAAAACAAACAAACAAACAAAAAAAAAAACCCAAACCAAAAAACACCAGAACTTACTTGGAATGGATTACTGTTTAGTTGAAAGAAAAAAAAAAAGTCAGAAAATACTGTGTATTACAAGAAGCAAGATCATGACATTCAGAGTAGATAGGATGGATTTAGCTCATGGAGATCCTATGGGATAGTGTTCTCATGCAGACATCAATTTAATTTCAATTTGTGATATGTGATTTTCTTTATGTTACAATAACAAAAGAGATGTGATAATGCACAGGCTGCAGAAAGTATCGGAAAGCCAGTCAGCAGGGAAAAAGTAGCTGTTCAAGGCTAGGAAGAAGTGAGACTCGTAAAACATTACCATGATTCGAAGATAATTTTAATGGATTCAGTTCATTCAGAGATAATCTGCCAACTATATAGGGCTTTTTTTTTTAGTTTGATTAATAGAAGAAATATGTTCTTAATTTCTATTTTGACATATTGCTTTTCTCTCTTGACATTTGTCCTCTAGGTTTTTAAGCCAAGTGTTCATGATATGATCCAGCTGGCTTATAGGGATCAACAACCCCCTTGTGAATAATGGTTAAAAACGGATCCCACCTGGACATTGAAACGCTGGCAATGCTCCAGAATAAAGCTATCTCCATCACCCTCCCAGTTGTGTATACACTGGTGGCCTTGATCAGTATCCCTGGCAACTTGTTCTCCCTTTGGGTGCTCTGCTGGCACATCAAACCCAAAACACCTTCTGTTATCTTCATGATCAACCTAAGCATCACGGACCTCATGCTGGCCAGCTGCTTTCCCTTCCAGATTTCTTATCACATCCAAAGCAATCACTGGAGCTTTGGCAAGACTCTTTGCAGCCTCGTGACTGTGATGTTCTACTCCAACATGTATTCTTCCATACTGACCATGACCTGTATAAGCATCGAGCGGTACATGGGTGTGGTATATCCCATGAAGTTGATCAAGTGGAGAAGAAAAAGATATGCCTTGGCTGCCTGCCTAGGCATGTGGATTTTCTTGCTACTAGCCTTCTACCCACTAGAAAGCACAGATCTGACCTATGAAGTGAAAGAACTAGGGATTATAACTTGTTTTGATGTCCTCAAATGGGATATGCTGCCCAATTTTGCAGCCTGGGTAGCCTTTCTCCTCACGCTATTTGTTGTGCTGTTCCTGATCCCTTTTGTTGTAACAGTTGGATGCTATATTGGTACCATCCGGAAGCTTATTCAGACATCAAACAGATACGGTAACAAGCAGAAGACTAGATCCATATACCTGGCGATGATAGTTCTTTCAGTATTCATCACTTGCTTCGCTCCCAATAACTTTATCCTACTTGCGCATATGATCATCCGCCTGTTTTACGACAGGAGTTTGTACCCTGCCTACAAGCTCACCTTGTGCCTCAGTTGCCTCAACAACTGCATAGATCCCTTCATTTATTACTTTGCATCCAAAGAATTTTACCAGAAATTCATGCAAGTGTTTCGTCCTAAGGTACTGCTCAGTGACAGTTTGGAAAACAGAAGGGAAAGCTTATTCTCTGGCAGGACCATGTCAGCCAGGTCGATGTCAAGCGGACCTATGGATGGTTTAGAGGGAGTAAACGCCTATTTGCAAAGGCAGGAAAGTGTTTTTTAGCCTTAGACATCCCCAGAAGAAAGGCACCTGTGAGATCCACGAGTAGACACAGAAAACATTTCTTTTTGAATGGCTGCACTCAAAATATCTTGCTCCAGTGACAGAACTCAAGCCATCCTACTTCAGTATTTTCTGGTAAGAAATGGAAGCATTAAAAGACCTGAGTTCAAGAAGCCACTGAAGCAAACCCAGCATTGGTAATTAGGGGTTGGCCTGGAATTAGTCTTACTGCATGAGACCAAGGGATAAAGTTTAGAACAAAAATTACTTTCAGGTTGTATGATCTCAGTGTTTAACCAAATGCTTGTGATTCTCAATGAATGTGAAATATTACTGTATATGAATTAGAGGATACACTGAAGTTGGATTTGGGGTACGGGAGTTATTTTTCTAAGCAATGTGCTGGGTTGGGGTTTTTTTGTTGGGTTTTTTTTGATGTATTGCTTTCTCTCTTGTATTTCTATAAAAGAATGAGTAAAAATAGCTTGTCGTTTTACCATCAATGCATAATGCATATCCACTGTGAATTCACCACAACACTCACCCGACTGTTTATCAGAACCAAATCACACTAACCTTTGAAAAGGTTAGGTTGACTCATATTATTTATTTCAGTTTTATATAGCAAAATATCTCATACAATGAAAGGAAAGTTAGAACTAACAAAGTTTGAGACTACTTCAGCAGCTGAGAGGATTATATTTTCATTTCTTGAAGTTATTAATTTCTCAGGACAGTGGGGAGCAGTTGATTTAAGAAAACAGATTTTTCTCACATTGACCTACTACTACAGTAATAATGCTGCTGCTCATGTGTGATTGGTATCAACAAGTCATTTTTACCAATTCACTATAGGCTATATGCAGAATCACCATCTCCCTCATCAGAGAATTTAGCTTTATATTAGTGCATGGACGGTGAGTTTATCGTCCTTATGGCAATGGTATGGATTATTAAGCAGATTTTCAGCTGGATATTTGAGAATTCAACCACAGACTGGAGTGATTCTGCACCAGCAGAAACCAGCTGAAAACCTGTCCCTATGGCCAGATGTCAGAAACGTACTTCTTTCGTACGCTAGGCAAACAGAAAGAAGAAAAAGAAATGAAAGCAAGGCTGGAGAATGGGAGAGGTACCATGGAAATAGGTTGATTGTGTGGTCCTGTGTTTGGGACTTCTCTCTGAAATATGCTTCTCCAGCTTGTTTGCATATACTGTGCCATGTAATTCTTCTCACATCTCAGCAGCAGCCTGTGGGCTTGGAAAGACAACTGCTACAGAATATGTTACTGAGGACAGACAAAGGCAAAGTTTTCCAGCAGTATTTACAGCTTTTACCTACCCTTGGCCCTCATTGACAGTGAAGAGCCAAAAAAGACCTGACAGAGCCAGGCAAGCTTCCCTTCACAAGAGAGACAAAGCTATACGGCATCCTTTTGCTGTGCTGCGACTCCATCCAACGCCGAGTAGGAGGCTGTCGTTGACATCATGGATAGTTGATTCAGACACCACATGTTACGTCTGCCTTGAGCAGATCCTTGCTGCTTTCTGAGCTCCTGTGCCTAAGTAAAAGACAACACCCAAGGCCCTTACAATCTGTCTTCTTTCTTTGTGCATGACATAGTTAAAACACAATTTCCACTACTAATCACCACGAGTTTCTTCATGATAGAGGCTAGATAACCACAAAATCAACTATGAGATATTTGCATGTCCTATCTTCTGCTAAAGTATTGTCATTGAAGCAGGATAAATGTGAGTGGACCTAGTACTACCCTTCAAAAGTCATCTGAAGTGTTTTATGGCACTTCACAGTGTTAGTTTTAATTGATGTGCACATTTTCCGCCCACAAGGCCAACCTTAATGATACATAACCTGTCCAAACCTTCCCATCAATTTGCTGGGAAGAGACTCTGCATTACCAGACTGAATGCTGGGCTTGCTACTGTAAATCACCTCATGTGTGCTGAAAAGGAGTTCACTGAATATACTCCTGTGTGAGTCTGGGGCTCTGACTTCTCCCAAGCTCCTCTTGAGCTCTGAGCTCTAGCACATGCTCCAAAATGCATGCTTGCACCAGGACCTCCAAAGAAAGAATGATGGCTGTTCCTAAGCCGTCTCATATCCATCAAGCAGAAATTCAGTTAGTTTTGCAAACCTGCATAATAATTGAGCAATACATGCTTTCACATTGCTGTTTAAGTCCATTCACCATCCACTTTCACAGAATTCCAGCTTTCTGACTGTGAAAACTGTTTACAGCATATTGCTGTGGCAGAAACTTTTTTGGAGGTTATACTGAAATCTCTCTTTTTTTTTTTTTTTTTTAACATGCAGGTTTTTTTACAATGAAAACCATTACTTCTCCTAGCTCTAATGCAGATTTTCACTTTGTTTTATTTTGAACCTGATCCCCAAGCACTTAGTGCCTCCTAAAATGTGCTGCAATGTGCCTGAACTGTAACTGACAACAGAGCCAAAAGGGCAGAAACTTTGCACTTTGGACATCAACTGATACATTTTGAAAAATACTGAATTGTTCCTTTTGCCAGAGAGAAAAGATGCCCACAACTGACCAAAAATGTTCTTCTCTCCAGCCTCACGCAGCTCTTCATAGCCCTTCATCCCGCTTCTGACATTGTCTAAAAAGGAACAAGGATGCTAGGGCTTGACCTGCTGGGAAGCAGCCCTGG